ACAAAATATTGGTTGAGAATTTTTTAAAGTTTTTTTTTAGTATGCTGTGATTAAGACAAAAGTGACTTGAAAGTAACTTTTCACCAAAATAAATCGGCTTGTTTTAAGCCAATAATTGTTAAACACAGATAGAAAAAGTTTCACTGGCAAATTTTTTCATATAAAACAGGAAACAATTTCTTGTTATAGAGAGGAAAAAATCTGCCAGTGCAACTAGTTTATCGATTCAAGAATTATTGATAAAGCTATTATATACCGTAATAAAGCTATTTTTAAAGTTATTCTTGTCTTAAATACAGAGTATTACAATACTTGAATGCGCTAGAAACAAAACAAAAATACTTGGATGTTTTTTGTTTGTTTGTTTTTTTTTTTCTTTGCAGTTTACGCAAAAAAAATTGTCTATCACACAAGATCCCCAGAGAAATCTCTGTTACGTCATATTCATAATGCTCATACATTTACACACCAGTCCAACTCTACCTCTAACCCCACCTACACTCTTCATCTTTGTTCCCACATGAGGAGTCAAACATAACAGATACACACACACACACACACACACACACACACACACAGTTCAAACCTATAAAGAGTATGCAAATGTGTAGGAGAGTGGAGAGAGACGGTACCAAATAATAATCCTCCTCCCACTATTGCGGCGAGATAAATTGCCACGAGGGTGGAAATGGAATTTCTCGATTTCATAACCCCGTTCTTTTGTTGCGGCGTAACGAGGTCACCTTAAATCGCTCCTTTGCACGCTTGGAGGTTAGTGGGGGGGAGAAAAGGAAAAAAGGGGAACAAGAGTAAAGAAAAAGATGAATAAATTCGGGCCTCTCAAAAGCGAATCCTTACTGTGCAGATGTGGACGCGAACGTGTTGATACCGTTGTGAAGCCGTGTTTTAACCTGTGGCCCCGCGTCCCGCCGGGCGGCGTGTGAAAGCCGTTTCTGTTGGGGCTTTTCCGCCTGGTGTTCGGAGCAGATGGATTCAGTGCGTGTGACTGAAATGAACAACCGGGACCGTAAGTAAGGAGGAGACCCCTTTGAATCGGCATGCTGACACGCAGCCTTTTCCTGCTTCATCTTGACCATTTTTTCTTTCCACCCTATTTTGTAGCCACAAACACACTCCTCTCCTCTCCTCTCCTCTCCTCTCCTCTCTGTGCTGCACCTACGGCCAGGGGAAGTTGTCCTCCTCTGGGAACCACCAAGAGAGATTAACTGTGTTTCTCTCGCCACGGTGGTTCGTTTCCGTACTGCGGCTAATCTAATGCACACATTATTCAGCGAGGTCCCGCATCTATTAGCGGAGAGCCCTGTAAGATTTATCGCCTGGTTTTAACTGTATGCTAAAAAAGCACATTAAGCAGATGATATCACGACGTCTACGAAATGATTATGCTGGCTCCGAGATGGAGGGGAAATAAGAGGCTTGGGGGGACCCGCTTAATTAAATGCAAGGTTCACCGGTACGTCTCTGGTTTGCTTTACGGCCGGCTGCTTCGCTTCTCCTTAAGTGCAACGCAAAAACGTTTCCGACTCTTGAAGCTTTTCGCTCTTTATTATGTTCCAATTTTAAACCTCAACGTATCTTATTGGGATTTTGCGCATTAGGCCAAACGTGTCGAACCCCGCTCTTCGAAAGGCCAAACTTTTGGAAAATTTGGGAAAATGGAATGAAGATACCTTGTTTTATATTAAAAAATAACAAGTGTTCATTTGTATTCAACCCTTTTTATTCTGATGTGCTGGAATAAAATCTATGCAATTTTCTGTCTTAAAAAACTGCTATAAAGTGTCTCTTATTTACTACATATATCAGTTTGAAACCAAAAAATTAAGTTCACACAGAGCCTTATTCATCACCTGAAAGGAAAGTCATTAAATTGGAATATTAATGAAAACGTATTTCAAGTGAAATATGTTCCATATGGTAAATGGCCTTGTGAAGTGCTTTGTGGTTATCTGGAGTAGATCATTTTGAATTGCATGCTGGTTTTGTTGTCACTTTTTAAAATATAGTCTACACAATACACATATTCGCTGATGGTTTTTGGTTTGAGGAAAGTCGTAGATGTGAATTTGTGTAATTAAAGGCTGTAATTCAGTCCCTGTTTGGATTAGTATAGCTGTCTGAATCCAAACAGATGTGTTTTTGAGTTTTATGTTTGCCTTTACGGGTATGTTATTAGAAAACTGTTTAAAAACACACAAGTATTATAATTTCTGAGCATTTCATTGAGTATTTACTCCTATGGATTCCTATGTTTACCTCAGATGTAGAGTGGGGAAGAGAAGCTTTAACTGCAGATAAAGATGATTTTTACGAACAGAGGTTGAATACAAGACAATTTATGTGACGCTCAGAGGAAACTGGTTGGACTGGATTTCATTTAGGAGCGTCAGAGTAAGGCGAGTGAGGACCGACATGTGCCACAGTTCTCAGAACTCTAATTGCAAAAAATTAATTAAAATTAAATCATTTGTGCAGTTGTTTCACAGTAAAAATCCAAAAACCTAAGTTGGGGGTTTGTGGTTGTAGCAAGGTCAACAGTCCTTCCTTCTGATATTTTTTCCTTTCCGTGTCATTTTGACCTACCATCTGAAGTTCTTCCATGTTGTTCTGCACCCAGTTTTTCCAAAAACACAGCTTTTTTTGTCTGCGTTCCTTTTTCACAAACAGCAAAGCAAACCACTCAAATCCCATTAATACGCAAGGAAAAATGTCATCACCTCGCTTTTGTTCATTTTACCATTCGTGCAGAGGAGCTAAAACCAACACCTTGCTGACTGTCTGAGAGTAATGAGTGTTCCCTCTTGAAAGATGTGACCTTTATATAAGAGCACGCCCTCCACCCCCAATACACACACACACACACACACACACACATTGTGTTAATTTCAGATGACCTCGGTTCTGTGCTCACAATTGGACGAGAAATCCCGACGCTCTGTGCCACACTTAGCAATGTGCTTCGCTGCTTGTAAAGTGCAAAAGTTGTTCCCCGACGATCATTTAAATTTTAGGCCTTGTTTAGGAAAGGATTTGAGTGTGCGGGCCATAAATTTACTCTTTTTTTTTTTTCTTTTTTTTTTTTATCGGGGTTAGAGCATGGATGCAGAAATAAGTCAGGCAGAACCAAATGCTCACTCTTATTTTTTCCCCCATCTTGCTCCTCTGCGCTCCCCAAAGCATCTTTATTGAATAGCTCTGGATGGAATAAAAATGAAAGTGGGAAGGGAGCGCCAGTGCTGCCAAAAATGCCAAGGCATTGTGTGTCTTTAAGCCTTTTAAGGTGCATAGCATATTGTAAAAGTAGGTTTTATTAGATATAAATTGGAGCTTTTTGTCTTGTAAAATGCCTTTTAAAATGATGTTTTGGCTTCCAATTAGATTTAGTGGGGCGTAAATTAAAAAATGACTTTTCTCTATCTACTAAATATTGAGAAATTCCCATTTCGTTTCATGCGAAAAACCAAAGTATTTATTTTAAATTTTTTTGCTAAAAACACAAAAAGAAGTCTGAGTAGGAAGGTTGGAAATAACTCATCTGTTGAATTATTCAAGAACTTCAGTCCAGTATATGGAGGATGTTCTGTTCTGGCTGTAAATATAGATTCTGAAGAATATTTTTAGTTTCGCAGTCTTGAAACAGAGACTGCTTTGATACCAAAAAGCCAGAACTTTCTTAGCTTGCTTGTAAGTTTGTTGTTTGCAATTTGATAATTTATTCCAATTTTACATGGCAACGTTTCACCTAAGCAGAAATTTGTTGGCAGTAAAAATAAAAAACAAAACAGCAAAATAAAACCATTTCTCTCCAGCTGCATGTACATCTGAAGCTCTGAATATTTTATGGGATTGACAAGGTTCCTGATAACTTGATGTCTTCTGAGGTTCCACACTGGTACTGATGGGCCCTCTGGATATTAATGAAAACTGTGGTCACTGACTGTCGCTGAAATGACGTTCTCTGTCTTTGTGAATTATTGATCAAAACAATGTTAATCAATTTTATCCATTGTAATTCGATCTTAGTCACTCTTGAATGACCGAGGCTCTGACCTCCTGGTGTTTATCAGACTGAATCATAAACACTATAAAAATATCTTTAAGAAAAGAACATGTTCTTATATAACCTTAAGTAAGGTATTGATTCATGTGTTTGTGTCTAAATTACTTATTCCATGTATCATCTAAGATTTATTTTAGCTAGTGTGGTAGGCGTTTATATTTTTATTCTTCAAACTAAAATTCTGTGGATTACTTTTTTTCTCTTTTTTTTGCAAATGTTCAAGAAATATTGAATTCGCAATAACAATGTAAACATACAAGCTTGGAATTGCTTATTTGAGGAAAGGGGCTGCACTGTAATCTAGAGTCATCATTATTCTGGAAGGTTAAACTCCAGAAACATCTTGTATTTACCTCCATCTTTCTTCCTTCCAAATCTGACCAGTTTTCTTTCTCCTTCTTTAGAAAAGCATCATGTCCGGTTTAAATTGGACATGGAAAACCAAAAAGTTTGATGTGTGTGTGCAAAGCTGTGTTTCTACCTACCTGATGCTGATTTTATCTCTCCGAAGAGTTTCGTTTTTATTTATTTCTTAACAAACAGTTGATAACGTTCGTCTCCTAGATTAAGTCGAGGACTAGGTACAATGTGGGGTGAAAGATGCAAAGCAGGACTAAGGCTAAGAAGAAATTAGAAAAAGATTCATTTTCTGCGTTTTGCCTTGAGTGTTCTCATATGCTTTGCATATTTATGACGGCAAGGGGACAGATTGAAAATGGGAGACTGGATTTATAGTACATCCCAATTGACCCCTGTGGTGATAAAATTGTAATAATCTGGAAGAGACCTCATTTAAGTCAGAAAATTCACATCATCTCCCCTTTTTTTCCCAGTATATTTGATTCTGGTAACTGTTGCCTTTGTATTTACCATATTAAAAAAAAAAAAAAAAAAAAAATTTTTTTTTGGCCCAAAAACGTTCAGCTTCTCTCCTCACAGCGACTCCAGCTCCAAGCCTTTACGTGACATTACTGGGTCATACTATAAATATACACCGCAGGGGGCTTGATCGCCTCATTGCTTTCTTCTATTTAAATATTACAGTAATTCCCAACTATGCTTTCTTTGTTAAGGTGTTGGAAATTGTTCTCAGTAATTGTTCTCAGGGCTTCTTCCAGTGTCACTGCTAGTGTCAAACTGGGATGAGACAAACGGTGTGGAATATTAGCACATGCACACAAATATATTGATATTTGTGTGCATAAATGTAAAGTTTGCTGGATTATTCTTCTTTAATGCGAGTGCTGCATTTATGTTGCTGGGGTGGTTTTTTGCTAAACGTTTGGTCAAAAACTGTTACTCTGTTAGTTGGGGTGAAGAAAATCCTTGTAGTTTTTTGCAGATCACCATCATGATTGCCATTAAGCCTGCTGGCTTTGACTGAAGCTAACATTAGCTTTTCACCTGCTACATCCTTTGTGGTTAAGCTAACATTGAATCTTTCATCATGGAACTGGTCATAAAATTAACATCAGAAAGGCATGTTGTCATAAAATCTCCAACCCGCAGGGTTACATCTTTAACCCTTTCTAAATGCTAGCTAGCTGCTTTAGCTAAGTATTAGCATTTAGTTGTAGCATTCCAAAATGGTCGGAAGGAATTTGGCATTCTTTTACGAACTGCAATTTTTAACTAAGTGGCAACGACTGACATTGACTTTATATGTCCCTTCAATCTTTTAGTTCACATTAGAAAGTTTGTTTCGTTAAACTGACGAAACAAACTTTCATTTGTTTCCTTTGTCATCCATTAAACAGCTGTACAGATGTAAGAGCTGAGTTATTAGCTTTTAAATAAAAATGTTGAAATGTCTTGAGATTTTACCAGCTTACTTTTTCTTTTTCTTTATCAACAGAAGTTTGCTTTATTTGAAGAATTATTATTTTTTTGTTTAATTGAAAGGAAAATAAGAAAAATGTTTGAATCCAAAGATATGACAAATAATATGTTGCTAATCTTAACCCTGGTGGCCCTGATATCTGACATTAACCATTATAGCCAATTTTTTGGGGTTAAAACTAGACCTTGATGGTGAGTCAAACCTAACCCTGTCATGTTAAACCATTCCACCACTTCATAAATCCATATTAACCCAGTCGAATCGGTCTGAATTACATTAGGTTGGTACAACTTAATATAATATCATGGTTAGCAAAAGAGAGAGAAGTTATTACATCGTCATCATTATAAACTCTTCATCCTCGCCAGAATTCTTTTAAAACTAAATCCCTAAGCAGAAATCTGTCAAACAAATCCTCAAGGAGGGTAAAGTGCATTGAAGAGCTTTTTTTTCCTGGCACAGATCAATTTTCTTTGTGATCAGTCGAGCTTAATGAACTTGAACGCGTTTCAAAACATTTTAAAGGTGTTCTCTTTTCCTCTCAGTCCTGAATCAGCGGCCTCGCTTCCCCCACCCCCCTCACCTTGCGTTGACTACACTGAGGAGTTTGAAGTGGGCCACTCATTTTCTGAGCGCAGCCAGAGGTCACCATGTTGAATATTGTAGCTAAAATTGTATCATTGCATCAGACACAAGACTTAACATTTCCCATTCTTTGATTTCATACTTGTAAAGTCAGTGTTTTTTGTTCTTTGTCGTCTTCGTCTTTCTGTTTACAACATTCGGATCTCCATATCAAAGCCTTCTAAAATGTTAACCCCTCTATAATTCAGATTCGTTATTCAACGAACGGGCTCTGAAGCGTGGATCGCAGCTCGGACGAAGATTTTAACCTGCATGGGTGGTGGCGGTTTGTGCAAATGCCAGGCTCTGGTTTCAGCCTCTGGTTGTGCCAAGGCAGCCCCCGAACACACAAACAGGATTTCCCCACCTTGGCGGCCATGCTGGCACAGCAGGCTCTTGCGGCCCTTTGAAGTGAAAGGCCCCCTCCGGGTCCCCAGAGAGAGGCTTGGGATCTGATCCCTGGGTTCATGCGCACGGTTGCCAGAATCGAAATGTGCACATATTCACGTTCACGCTTTCACAATCTGCTCCTGCTCAATCACACACACACACACACACACACGCGCACACACACACACACACACACAGGGGGGGAAAAAAATTTAAATATGATCTTCCATCATGTTGGACAAATGCGCCCACCGACCATATACTTACATCTCTGTACCCTGTGCTGATAAAGGGCAAACAGGAAGCACCAAGAGTGCACCTGGCTCTGTGTTGATAAAGGAGCAGGTCGCAGCTCTCAGCATGCATCCAGGGATGGGCCAAGAAAAGAAGGATGAGGCTGACTGACAGATGGAGCAGAGGCAGAAACTAGAATAGCAAGAGAGGAAAATCTATATTCTCGTTTGGACTAAAAGGAATTAAAACAACAAAATCGGTCATTTTATGCAAAAGCACAATAACAAATATGATATTTTGTACCGTAAGTCAACAGATAGATTTCAGTCTTTGCCTTAGAGTCAATTTCATAAGATGTCTTTACTCTACCATCACTTTCCTACACACTTGTTACTGTAGCATTTTACACAAAATTTAAGCCAAACTGCCACATAACAAAACGTTTTGTACAGACAAAACACATATACACCACTGCTACCCACAGTGGTTTGTGACCCCACAAACTTAATATCATGCTACACTATGCAGATGCTCTGTAGGTTCTGATGAGAATCCATTTACTTTGACAAGCTGAATGTTTGCAGAGGCTCCAACTGACAGCAGCTCAACCTATTTTCTGATTACTTCGGCAAGTAAATACTCATCAACTGAGAGATGCCTACAAACTCTGTATGGAGAACTGAATTTTCAGCCCATGAAAGGAAGTTGATTATAAGGTATGAGAAAAGGGGAAAACATAAACGACACAGCGGCAAAGAATTTACCAATCACACAAATAAGGAAGCACATTAGTTGGAATCACATTGATTAGGTTTACGACAGTTAAATGGAAACAATAAAGTTTTAGAGTCAGAAATCAGAAGCGGATCAGTGATGAAAGACTTTCAACCCCATACTGAGTTTTAACTGAGACTCTTTTCCTCGAGCCTCCTTCACATCCAGCTACCTCCCCTTGTTGTCTTGGTGCTAGCTACGGTACATTTTGGGAGTTTCTTATTTTCAATTTGCTTTCATTCTACTCGCTATATTAGCTGAAGGGAATCTGAAGCAAATGCACCGTGGAGACTGTCTGCAAACCACATGAGAAAAACGGGCATGAAGGAATCTAAGTAAGCAGCAGCAAAAGTTTTATTTTTATAAAGCAAATGTTTTTCTTCTCATATTATATGATCAGATTGTGTTCCAGTGACAAGTACTTTTCTACATGGCTCTCGCGTACCTTTTATTAGCTTCATTGCAGCTCAACCAGCTGCCTGTAAATGTGTGGGTCAAAAACTGATAACCTTGAGAGTATAAAAAAAATAATAAATGTGAGGTTTCATGTGGACTCTTGTTCTGCTGGCAGTAGGTCCGTCTGCTCTTGTTGGCCATAAGTGGGGCCTCTGGTTTGATCCAATGCATCCGAGTTTCTCAGTAGGATTTGTATCTGAGGAGTTCTGATATATCTCTGACCTGAACTTCCTGTAGTTTTCCTGGAGCAACTTATTGCATGTTTGCTTTTTTATATTTTGCCTTTTAATGTACCTGTCTTAAAAAAATAGAATACATCGCAAGAAATGTTGACCGGGCCAACCCAGGAATGATCAATTTATTTAACTCAAGAGTCAGTAGATCACAGAAACTTTTTACTTTTATTGTGACATATGTAAACAATAAAAAAAACTGCATTAATAAAGTATCTACACCATAATGTACAAACATTCTTTGAGGATAAAACCTTATCCTCTTGCATAAGGACCCTATCAGCAAAGGTCAAACTTGTCAATCAGAATTTGTGATCCATAGACGTAGGCGAAAGGTAATCATAGTCTGCCACTGGAGTAGAAGAAGACAGCACTGGACTTGATGGATGTCCAAAAGAAGGTGAATTGCTTGGCTAATAATCGAGTGAATTTCAGCTTGATCTACAATTCTTACCTCCGTTTTACTGAAATTTGAAAAACCATTTCAATAACCTCTTAGTCTGGTACAAAATTGTATTCAGTGTTGATGTCATCAGCATAAAATGGTAACAGATGTCATTAGAAGACCAAATTGTATCATGAAAATGAAAGATCACCTTTGCTTTTGTGGAAAGCGAGCGGGGCATATTGTTCGGAATCCGAGTTATCTTGAGGTAGGCAGGAGTCCTTTGAAAGAAGCCAAAGTTTCACACGTGTTCCTTCCCATCAGCAATGAAAGAGATTCCACCTCTATCGCGTCTTGCTTGTGCAGCTGTCAAGAAACTTTCCTTTTAACTTTGCCCCGTTGTCATGCGGCGGCATAGATCAGAGAGTTGGCAACCGCAGACTGGAAAGGCGTATGCAAACCAAGCTCAGATTCAATCTGTTACATTAGCTTGATGTACAAACCCTACATCGGCATCCATAAGAGGAGTTGTCTCAATCTATGTACGATCCTGTGTGCGATCGGCTTTCTTTGATGCTTCCAGCCACAGGTCTTTAAACCACCCACCAGGCCCCCTGTCCACCCTAAAACACACCTCTGCGGCGGTGTTGTCTGACAGCTGCATAAGGCACATCTATGAGTTGTGAAGGGTGATGTGAAAAGAACACGGTAAAGTACAATCCCCAGTGGCGCTGCGGTGCTGTGTAATAGAGTCTCTTATGTGCAGTCACTCAGTCAGACATTCTGCCCATGAGGTAATTTATGATCCAGGGTGCAAGGTGTGAATCCGCATGCATCCTTCCCAGCTTTTCTGTCTGTCTGAGCAAATGTCTCGAAAAGTCTTCAAAGCGCTGATGAATTACCAATGAAGCAGCCTGGGGATCGCATCTCTTTCAACCGGCCTCTTCCTCGTAGTCGAAGCCTAAAATCTAAAGCTTGTAATATCAAGGATTAAAACTGGGATTACAGTTTAGAAGCAACATTGAGTTGCTTTCAATGTTGGGATTGTGTTAGGGATCAGGTTGCCAGAGAATTTAAGCTAATTAAGACTTTCAGCCGAGTTTAAAGTTGTATAGGAACAGTTTTTCGGTGACATTGAGACAATCGCACATCTCGTCTTTCAGCTATGCGAAGTACATAAACCTTTGCAGAATGCTCCCAGTAACAACACTCACACCGCCGCTGCCAAGAGTAGCATTAAACACACTGATCCGTGCCCATACCAATCTGCTCTAACTCAAATTTATGAAAAGGACCGCCAATGCTCAACACTATGTCACTTAGTGTTGAAACACAATGTGTCAAAATTACTGCTGCCATCATTACAATAGTAAAAACTCTAGTAAATTACGAATTGTTGAACAAAGGTATTGATTTATCTTAATGAGGTTTGATGAAAGTACCTAGAACTGAAAGCAGGAACACGTTACAGATCACTGTCTTGACTTTTTTGGTACTGTAGAATCTTTGATGAATTACGTTGTATTTTAGTTTTTTTTTTCTTTTATTTGTGGTTACTGGCATTTTAGAGAACATATTTAGTTGTCTTTATGAAATAGATCTATATTAGTTTTTATTGGTTGTGGCAACCCAGGCTTGAAATCAGTAGTGTTTGCAAACACTACATTAATCATTGCGAAATGTTAGCCATCAGTGTTTAATATCAATGTTTAATATCTTTAACTATTTGCATCTTAAAGAAAACTTATACAATTCCCTACTGCAGGTTTAGACGTTTCAAAACTACAGCCTGTGTTACGAAGCGTACACCAGATTCTGTGGACAATATAAAATCCCCAAATGTTTAAGAGATGTTCTCCACACTGCCAGAACCACAATCTGACAAAGTTAATAATGTAATTTTTAGAAGAATAACTTGAGGCATACTACAGCAGTCACCACATTCACCCTTCTTATCAGTTTTTGTTCGTTTTTTTTTCACCTTTTTTTAACCCTGTGAAAGAGCTTGCTGCTGAACAAGTTCCAGAGTATGAAGTCAGCACAAGCTGCCTGCATGCATGTGTGTGTGTGCATCAGTGTGTGTGTGTGTGTGTGTGCATGGCAGCCGAGCAGCCATTCGGGCATCATGCGGCCGACTGTATCAAACAACAACCGTGCGTGCCAGCCACACTTCCGTTCCACTCACCGAGGGGAGGCAGGGTGAAAACGCCACGCTAAAGAGAAGGGGTGAACACGAGGTAAACACAGGGGTTGCTAAGGCAACGATGGGGTTTTGCGATACCGATGGGGGACGGGTGGATGGCCGAGTGGCCAGAAAAGTCTGCCAGGCACCCAACTTCCCCTGCACAGATGGAGCACCCCCCCTCCGCCTCCTCCTCCTCTTTTTTCCATCTCCTCCTTTCTGACTCTGCTCCGGACCGACTGAGCAGCCTGCAGACTGTGAAAGATGCGTGTGCGAGGAATTTTCGGGTGTGAGGCCACATCCGAACAACAGATTATTAGTCTGAAGGGTTTCATTGTGTTCCCGGGAGTGTCTCCGAAGGGATTTCGCCAAGACGGACGGGAGTATTTGTTTTTACTATACTGTACGACGTGAGCTGGTTGAAAGGCCTTCAGAAAGCGACAAAAAAAGAAAAACACATTTTTATGAAATTCTTTTATGCTTATGGGCCTTGAATCAATCAATAAATAACAAAAATGTTTTAAAAAACATAAAAAATTCAAATGTGCTTTTGCAAGCAGAATACTGTTGGGGGAATAAATATGTAAATGCTCTGTGCTGCTGTGAAACCTTGCCGTCACCCTCGGAGCAGTTTGGGCCTACTTTGAATGCAAACACATGAGTGATCAGAGACGGAGCTTTGCATGATAACGCTCTTCTCCAGAAAGCTTTTATGACGTGCACTCTATTTTCTTCCCCTCTCTTCTTTCTCTAATCACGTCAACCTTCCGACTTGAGTTTACTTTCCTCACACATGCAGTAAAGTTGGCTTTCTTGTATTTGTTTATTTTGTGGCCTGTATTACTGTCGGTATTCATCTAAACTACACACTCCTCTGTACATATTTGCCAGTTACAAATCCCAAATTGAGGCAGATTTTTTTGTGATGTTTGAAGCTTTGACCGTCTTATGCTGACTGTAGATCCTTCTGATTCCACTTTAAGATCCGTGGAATGAGACGACACAGGAACCAAATTGGCTAAAAACATAAAATGTGGATTTACTTTCAGTTTTTCTTTGCATTATTTACATAAACTTTTTTTTTTTTTTTTTTTTTTTTTTTTTAAAAATTTTTCATCAATTTTTTTTTTTTTTATTTTCCCTAAATTCCGGGGCATTTTGTTTTTTGGGGAA